AGTGTCAACTTGAGCGTGAACGTATGGAGATGTTCATGATGTACACAAACCATTTTCATCAGCATCTAGCAACTTCATCTCGCGACAGTTCATCATCACCAAAATCAGTGAGACGTAACAAGGACAACAGTAACAAGTACTTAATGTAAGATTATTTCATCTCAAATCCAACCTACGACGCTAGGGCTATCACAAGGTGGTATCAGATGCCCCTACCTTATTCAACCGAGTCATGAATGATGTTGTTCAGTACGATGCCTACTTTCAGCAAAAGAAAGATGCTTTAGGTCGCGACTCACTCTCCCCGCACCAAAAGCTTACTAGTGCTTTCCGCATGCTTGCATATATGGATGCTCAACATATTGTTTGGATGAGTAATGTCGAATGGATGAGAGCACGGTCATGAACTGCTGAAGAATTTCTACTCAGATATCACCAACATTAATGGTGCTCAGTACTTGCATGCACCAACAGTTGAAAATACTTGCCGCCTCCTTCATCATGCTGCACAACAGGGCTTTCCCGACATGATTGGATGATTGGATCTATTGGGTGCATGCATCGGGAGTGGAAGAACTGTCTGACTAGACGGGCAGGCCACACTGGGCACAAGAGGAAACCAACCATTGTACTCAAAGCTTTAGCATCGTACGCCACTTGGATTTGACATGCCTTCTTCAGAAAACCTAGATTGAACAATGACATCAATACTCTTGGAGTATCCCTACTATTCAATCAAGTAGTACGAGGACTGGTCCCTATGTGAGTTATGAGGTAAATGACAAGATTTAAAATCAACGTTATTACTTTGTTGATGGAATATACCCGGAGATGGCTACATTTGTGAAGACTATTAGTAATCCAAGAAACCAGAAGAAGAAGTTGTTTGCAAAGTACTTAGAGGCTTACCGCAAGGATGTTGAAAGGGCCTTTGGCATACTAGCTACAGCAAAGGTAGGATATTGTGAGAGGGTCAAGTCATTTATGGAACGTTCAAACACTTTGTGGGATTATGTTAACTTGTATTATTCTGCATAATATGATTGCGGAAGATCAATGATATGAGTATGTGGATGGTGTAATGGAGAACATTGAATATGATAGTAATGCAAATGTCACATGATATCCACCCGACCACAACATTTTCACTGTCATGGATTACATGGCAAGACACAATAGGATTTGTGATTGTCCCGCACATCAAGCATTGAGAGATGATTTGATCGAGCATTTATGGACAAACAAAGAGGAGAGTAGAAATGTGATGGATTCCCTATGTTTTATTTCTGTATTTTCTTTATTTTCTTGAAGTATTCCCCAATTTAAATTTTGTATTCCCTACGTTTTAGTGAAGATAGTAGTTAGAATTACAATAGAATTAAAATATACATGAACCATGAATCAAACTACTTAAAACAATACACTCAATACTACCTAAAAATTATACTCAAAATAAAGCAACCCTCTAATTAATCAACCATAGTAAGAGCCATCATTTAGGCTATAAGTGGATCCTCCCAGAGCATCTTGGTACGAGCTGCAATATCATCCTTTAGTCTTTGATGCCAAGCCTTAGTTCGAGGACTATGTTAAGAGATATCCATATTCATTATCTTCATAATCATGTTTGTTCTTCTCCCATGATTCTCTTGCTTTAGCTCTTTCTTCCCTCTCAACTTCACGTACCTCGCTAGCGATGCTAACCTTGTGTGCGTGTCTGAATTCTCCACTAAATTGGTCATACTCTTGTCCCAACTTTCTGTGGAAGAATATGGAGTTTCTTTTTTCTTCTTCTTTTGCTTATCTCGACCTTCAGGATGGTTGATCACAATGGAGTCCCGCTTGGTTGAATGTCAGGGATATTACTTTCGCCAGATACCTGATGGTACTGCTGATGAAGATCCATCCATTGGTATGATTGGTGATACGGGGACAATAAATTGTTGCACAAAATTTGGGGAGTGTTGGACTATATCCCAACAATGCTCCAACTTGAAATATTTTCTGGTGTCCGCTACAAAATTTATTTTCGTTCAAACTACACAAATTCATCCAATTATTTCAAGAAGTAAACTTAATAAATAATTAAGAAATATATGCATGGTAATAAACATAAGATGGAGACTAATCTCATTACTTAAGTTCTCGCCTCTCTTTTTTTTTTTTTTTTTTGACAATGAGTTCTCGCCTCTCATTGGTGTTGCGCTTGCCCTTCTTGATGTCGCATTTCACGTGCCCACATTGATGGAGAATGATCTCCCATAGAGAAATCAAGTCCTCATTAGCACGTGCAATCCCACATCCATTTGAAGCAAATTTGACTCCAGATCGCCTCCAGAATTCAGTCATAGATTGATAATGACCTACCAAACCATCCTCGGAAATTTCAATCCGTGCCTTGCATAGAACTCCATCTTCAAGCTCAATCCAATTTAGAGGGCGATTGGATTGAGACATGATGAAGAGTTTGGAAAGAGAGAATGTTTTTAGTGGGAAGAAGATGATATGTACGAGATGAGAAGGCAATAAAAATATGAAAGTGATAAAGAATAAGTGAAGAAATGTGGTGTCGATAAAATTGAAAAAACTAGTTGTTTGGCCTAAAGAAGTTGTTGGAAATTAATTGAAGCTTGAAAGATCCGTTGGATAGTAATTGGGACAGTCACTGTAATTTTTTAAGTATACAACGTTGCTTTAAAGTGAAAGTGTCGCAGAGGGAGGGGGGAGAGTTCCCTACAGGCGTGGTGGTCGTTGTCTCTATCTTGCGCGTGGCATACTCCCCCACCCCTAGGGATGTCAATCCAACCCGTAACCATGGGTACCCTACCCGACCGTAACCGGTCAACGAGGGTAATTACCCGCTTTGACGGGTTAAGGGGCGGGTACGGGTTATACCCGGTTTCAAAATAAAGGGTAGGGTACGGGTATGGTAATCGATAATACCCGCCCCGTTATACCCGCCCCGCTAACCAAAGGATCAATTTCCCTTGAGAAATTTATTTTAGCTTGAGAAATTGAGTTTAGCTACCATTATTGATGATGAAGATGTAGACGATTATTATGTTTGTGTGGATTGTAGAAGCAAGAACAATTATTATGTGTTTGCTATTTTTATTTGTGTGGATTGTTGAAGGTAGAAAAGTTACAAGAGTATGTATGTGCATATATGTGTATAAGTTCATAGTTTAGGATTCGTACCCATGGTTACCCGAATACCCGTGGTTACCCGGTGGGTAGGGTATGGTTATATAATTTTCATACCCGGTGGTTATTTGGTCGGGTATTTTAGAAAGCTCTACCCGGCGGGTTAGGAGTTGGTATAAGGTAAACCCGCACCCGACCCTACCCATTGCCATCCCTACCCACCCCACCCCGGCCGCCGCATCATCTTCGGTAGATGGTGGAGACATATTGGTTTTCCACTTTTTTGGCAGATTGGGGGCCGAATTTGGCCCAAACATTGTCAATTTTTTGCATTTTTGAGTTTTTTGGACTTGAGTTTTAGCACACTTCATCCACTTTTTGGTATTTTTGAGTTTGGGTTGAAGATGGTCTTATTGGAGCAAAAAAGCATTTTTTGGAAGCCAAAATGTTAAAATCATCTAACGCTTATAGTCTTAGATGCTCTTCACCGTCATTTTTAAATCTTACAGGAACATAAAGAAGATTGGAGAAGAAAGAAGACATTTAAATCCCAACTTCATAAAACACACTTTTAAGAGTTTCTGGTGTGATAGACAATAGAGAAAACTTGTTTACACTTCTGAAAATTCGATTGAAGCTGAATAATCATCGACTGCAAGAGGCAACGAGGTCGAATACAAACGGGATTATCCATGTGAGACGCTCGGCGAATAACATAGCACATATTATGGCACATAGTGAGACCCGTTGGGGTAGTAGAGAGATGTGGGTCGATACACCACTAATTTTCCTAGTTAACTAGCTAAGACTGATGATGTAACCGCTGATTCTTAATTAATTTACATCTGCAGGTTACCCCTAAAAAAAAAACTCACCCTAATTTTGTATCTCCCTATATTCATGAGACTTTATGTGACTCCTCGATGTGACTTGTGTTTAAAATTAAACATTGGAGGAAGGGGGCTTTGCCTCCATCGATGCAATACTTTCGTGGTTTCCGACTAACTTTTTGCAGGGGCTTCAGAGTGGTTGTAGACTATTGGACAACGTCTTTCCAACCAAAAGGGAGGCTTTCCACCTGACGGCGAGACTATTGAATCAATAGCCTTGAGTAGCGGTGTCTTTTTTGGGTGTGATCCTTTCGGTGTAATTCTGTTCGTAATGGGTAAGTTTCATGCAGGCATCCATGATTCTTTTTGGTAGAATTATTGGCGCGTAGGGTTGCCTTGGATTGGTGCCTCACACATGGTTTTCTTTTGCTCAAATTGCATGAGAATTCACACCTAGTTCTCCGGCGACTCTTGGCGGGAGGCTCTGATCATGTGACGAGTGATGTGATCCTGGAAGTTATTCATCGTTTGTCCGGATCCTTTGAGTTTTGTTCTTGCTCTCATGTTACTCGTAGAGTTAATAGACCAGCCCATTTTGTGTCCAAAAACGCTATCTCATCGGAAGTTCGACGATTAGTCGACTTCCGCCCGTGGATTTGTTCTGTTCTTTGACTATGTATCCGAGCTTTCGTTCGGTTTTGACTATGTTAAAAAAAAAAACATACTTGTGCTTTGAATATACCTGATGGGCCGGCACGATCCAACACATCTAAGGCACGATACGAGTACAGGGTCGACGAGCTAGACACAAATCCGTACATGCACGAAATGTTTGTGGTGGGTCGTATCCTACCTATCTAATGTCCATGGGCTTGATATGGGCCCAGATACACAAACATGACCTTCGTTGTTGTGCTAAAAAAGTAAAAAACACAAATCAAACCACGTCGACGATGGAAGAAAGAAAAACTAGAAAAAGCCACGTGTCGCCGTTTCGTATGTGAGGTCAAATGAGAAGGATGCGTCGTACTCTTTCCCGAGGAAGAAAATCTGGAAGCATCCACATGCTCGAAAGCTCGCTCAGCCTTTTCCCCAATTTTCTTGGCGATGGCGGTAGCTACCCTCGTTCTCGATCGGACTTCAAAATCTTTGGACCCATTCTCGGATCAACCAAAACCGTCCGTTCCAGCTTCACGGCTAAGCTCTCAATCACATCACAACCAGCGGCCACCACCTCCGCCCCCTCCTCCACCGCAACCGTCACCGTCATTATCAACTTTTTGCCTATTTTCCAAGTCTCCGTAGCATACTCCTTTCTCTCGCTCCGGCCAATCCTAGTCTGTTCGAAATCCCCCGATTCTCTCCTCTGCTTCAGATGAAGTCCGCCATTCAACTCGAGCCGCCGCCTCACGCCAACCTCCTCCACTTCCACCACCACAAATTCCCCGCCAGAACCCGCCAGCTCCATCTCTACCGCCGCCGCCGTCACAAATCGGCGGCCAGAACGCTCGTGCTCTGCGCCGGCTTGCTGGACCCCTTCCAGAGCTTCCTCACTCAGTTCCCTTCCTCGAATTCCCTCGACCTTCTCGCTCCCGCCATCGGCCTCGCCTCCGGTTTGACGCTCTACCTCGCTGGACGGAAGTCCAGGGACAAGTCTCCTGAAGTCGGCGAGTGGATTCTGTTCACCAGCCCGACGCCGTTTAACAGGTTTGTGATTCTGCGGTGCCCTTCCGTATCGTTTGAAGGGAGCGAGTTGCTGGAGGGGGTGAATGAGAAATTGGTGGAGCAGGACAGGCATTTTGTGCGCCTGAACAGCGGGAGAATTCAAGGGACTTTCGGCGAGGAGGATGCTGGCAGTGGTGGCTCTCTGGTGGATAAACTGGAGTACCAGAGAGTTTGTGTGAGTGCGGAGGACGGCGGCGTTGTGTCGATCGATTGGCCGTCGAATTTGGACCTGGAGGAGGAGCGTGGACTGGATACGACTTTCTTGCTGGTGCCGGGGACACCGGACGGGAGCATGGATCCTAGCGTTAGGTCATTCGTCTGTGAATCCCTGGGCCGCGGATTCTTTCCCATTGTTATGAATCCTAGAGGCTGCGCTGGTTCTCCGCTCACCACTGCCAGGTACGCAACGTCTTCAACTAAGGAATTTGAAGCAAAAAAGCAAAATGAAACAGCTTGCAGGATGGAGAATCTGCTTTGGTGTGATAGTGATAGAACCTCGGACTAATCTGCTTTGTGTTGTTCAGCTGAAAATCGAAATCACAGCTTTTAGTTGAAAATAGAAGAATTAGAGTGTGATATGGGCAAATGAGAGAACAGTATATAGCAGGTTCCAGCGTTTTGATGCCAGAAGAAGCTGAGAGTAGAGCTTCTTAACTGCTTTATTTCATGTAGGTTGTTTTCAGCTGCTGACAGCGATGATATATCCACAGTTGTACATTTCATCACCAAGGCAAGACCATGGACTACAATCATGGCTGTTGGCTGGGGTTATGGTGCAAGCATGTTGACAAAATATCTGGGAGAAGTCGGGGATAGAACTCCAATTACAGCTGCCACTTGTATTAATAACCCTTTTGACTTGGATGAGGCCACAAGGTGCTCTCCTTATCATGTCGCTTTGGATGAGAAGCTCACTGGTGGGCTGGTTGATATACTACGGGCTAACAAGGTTAGAGGATTGACTTCAAACTTGACCTTCAAATTATCATTGGAGCATCTTTCAGAAGATGAGGGGAAATAACATGCATAAGCTGCTAAATTTGACGATAACTTGTGCATAATGCAAAATATGACATAATTTCATGCAGTCCGTTGATGAATCGTTTTGGTAGTGAGTGGGCTATTAAATATTGTGCAGGGACTGTTTCAAGGTAAAGCAAAAGGGTTTAATGTGGAGAAAGCCTTATTGGCAAAATCCGTTCGTGATTTTGAGAAAGCAATATCTATGGTGTCTTATGGTTTCAAAGAAATAGAAGAATTTTATTCTAAATCAAGCACTTCAGGTTTGGTCAAGCATGTGAAGATTCCTGTGCTCTTTATCCAGGTGCAATTTTTTTCTGTTACTGCCGTTCTTTTTGTTGTATACTTTCACTTCCCAGAATCTAATAAATTGCAACTTCACAAAATATCAGAATGATGGTGCTGTCCCGCCCTTCTCCATTCCACGCAGTTCAATCGCAGAAAATCCTTGTACAAACCTTCTTCTATGCTCATGCTCACCGCATGTGACCAAAGTAAACAACAGAGCAGCTCAGTTATGGTGCCAAAACCTTACATTAGAGGTGACAAATCTTCTTTGTTGAGAAGACAACATGAATTTTTTTTTCCTAGGGATTTGTTGACCAGCATATCATTTAGCTATTTTCTGCCATACATTTATTGATATCATTTTCTTGATTTCAAAAGTTCACGTTATGATTGTGTATCATTTACTGATAATCGTCTTACTTTTCAATGTCTCATTTGAGTAATTACATGACGAATTTTGGACGTCTTCAATTATTAGTAAAGTTCCTCATAAGAAGGCAATATATTTAAATTTACATGCACAGGGACCAGCGCTGGTATTTCAAACATGAAGCCATTCACTGAGTGGTTGATAGATGCCTGCCATTGTCTTATTTCAGAATCTTTTTTGTCCGGGGCTACCTGGTTTCTTAGTTTGGCCATAACTACAAGTGGTAATCTAGTTACTGTGTCTATGAAATGTGCAGTGGCTCACAGCCGTGGAGCTCGGACTCTTGAAGGGGCGTCATCCACTTCTTGATGATTTAGATGTTACCGTCAACCTATCAACAGGTTTAAGTCGTAGAGAAAGGGCAATTGTTGACATTCATGGAGAGAATAAAGAACTCTTGGATCTTACTGTAACTGATACCAATGGGTATGCTGTGAGTCTATCCAATCAGCTGCCTGACGGTAGCTCTACCAGTGATGGGCTTAATTCAGGATCAATACTTCATTATGACAAAGATATGGAAATCGAAGATGGATTACAGGGAGAAGAAGGCCAGGTTAGACAGAGAACTACTGTAGAAACAGACCTGATGGAAGATGAGTCAGCTATACCTCTGGATGCTGAAAGAGGCGAAGTGTTACAGACAGCACAGGTAGTAATGAAAATGCTGGACACTGCAATGCCCGGTGCTCTTGCGCAGGATGAAAGAAAGAAGGTAAGGCTGAATTGCTTGAGATCAGTGTTTGTTTTTAGTTCACTGTTACCCTTTTTAGCATATGTGGATATTCAATATTCATACAACATGGCTCCAGAATTCAGATTCATTGGACATTGCATTTGATTTTTGCATTGGTGAGATTGCAGAATTAGTTGGGAAAGAAGGCTTCTCTTATATCTTTTCCTTGGTACATAAAACCACTGATGGACCTAATGATTGGTTGTTCTATCCAAAAGTAATATCTGTTTTATAATGAATAAGTTAGGATGAGCTCAAATACAAGATATCAAACATCTAGCAAACTGAGTGGTACATATTTGAAGTTGTCATAGTTGAACAAATTTGATAGACCTAGTGATTTCTTGACGTCTCGCTGTTATCCTTAGATGGTGCAGGTCTTTGCAGAATTGATGGGAAATCTCTAATTTGCTTCTGGTTGTTGTATCATTAGCCATTCAGCAGAACTTTCGTGCTTCCTGTGTGTAGGTCTTGTCTGCTGTAGGTCGAGGAGAGACACTTTTGAAAGCCTTGGAAGGTGCTGTACCAGAAGAAGTTCGCGGAAAGCTTACTGCAGCTGCATCAGGAATTCTGCAAGCTAATCGTATGAAGTTAAAGCTTGATGGGCTGATGGGTAGTGGTGAAGGTAAGATACCAGCTCTATCTTCAGGGTTGAAGTCAACCACACAAGTAGAAGCAAGTTCTGACAGCATGTCAAAAGACATTGCTGTAGATGAGATGAATAAGACAAATAGTGTAACAGATGATGTCGGTGACAATCAATCGGGGATTGACCAGTCTGGTGGTGGTCTAGACCCAGAGCTTCTGTCTTCTGATAATTTGCAGAAATCTGTTGACTTAGGTCAGTCTCAAAGTATGACAAATCAGCATGGTGATATACATGGTCCCCCTACAATGGGAGCAAATGAATCTGAAAATAATCATACTAGTGATGGAGTCACTAGAGAAAAAGCTGCTTTGTTTGCCGAGAGTAAGGATAAGGGATTGGAAGCTAGTCTGGAGTCTGTTCCTGAAAAGGCTGGTAGTGTCAAGGATGCCACTTCCAATGATACCAAATTGCTCCATGATGATGAATCATCACCTGAGCCAGAAACGAGAAAGGATAATAATTCTCATGAAAAGACGACCATGGAGTCTTCTAGTGAGCAGAGTGAGGTGACACCTTCCAATATTAGTGAAGGCGGCAGTCCGTCTGCAGGAGTTCCTGAGCCTCAACAGTCTGGAAAGGAAGGCATTGATGATCAGAAGAGAGATAGCATAAGCGAACAGCCTGTACCGATTCAAAACAAGTCTGCCCTTCCCGATTCCAATACCCCCACCTTCAATGTCGTTCAAGCCCTGGATGCCTTTGCAGGAATTGATGATTCCACTCAAGTAGCAGTTAACAGTGTCTTTGGTGTGATTGAAAATATGATTGACCAATTTCAAGAGGATCAGGATAACAAAGATCATGCCAATGATGGAAATGAGACTGAAGATGAATTTGATGATTCTGGTTCTAGTGAACCGCTGAATGTTGATCGGCCATCAGCACAGGCTGGAGCAGGTTACGATGGTTCAAAGGCGAGACCTAAAATGGATACATTAATTTCGAGTGGCAACATTTCTAGTAACTCTGGGAGGGTTGTTAATAACTACAGAAGCGAGATTGAAAAGGAACAGTTATTTGGTATTAGAAGTACAACTGACTTGGACGATAGCAATGTGAGAGATATTCCTTTGCGTGTGAACAAACACCTATATGAGGACTACCTGCAGAATGCTCACCTCAACAAATATCTTCTAGCTAAGATGCCAAAAACCAAACCACTGGATGTTGACCCAACTGCTGCTTTATTACTTGACTATTTTCCAGAAGATGGCCAATGGAAGCTTTTGGAACAACATGTGAATGTTGGACAGTTGAGGAAAACTGCTTCAACTAGTAATGTTGTTCAACGAAAGGTTAAGGTCCAATTGAATGCGGAGGTGAAAAAAGGAGATGATTTTATTGAACCTTCCTATGTTGTGTTAGATACTGAGACACGTCAGCAGCCTGTTGGAGAATATAAGGTTTTGGACAACCTAAAAAGGAAGGCAGGAGATGTTAGCGTCAAGACAGAAGAGCTTATACATTCTGTGAAGCACATTATCCTGGATGCACTAAAGGTTGAGGTTGGCCGCAAGCTGAGTGTGGCTGACGTGAGAAAAATGAAGCCTGATCTTGGAAGTGATATTGAACTAGTGGCTGATGCTGTATCTTTGTCCGTTGGGCATGGCAAGGATCATATCTGGAACGTCCATGATGAAAACAATAAGGTCGATTATAATTCAGAAAGGCACGGTGTCCTTCATGCAGAAAGCATTGTGAGTGCCATATCATCTTCTGTCTCAGGAACAACCTATTTAAGAAGACTCTTACCGGTGGGGGTCATAGTAGGTTGTTGCTTAGCTGCATTGAAAAAACATTTTGACGTAGCTACAGGACCTAATAATGATCTGGAACCATATGATCAAAATGAAAGTTCTCTGGAAAACTGCCAAGATGAAATGAATACTAGTAAGAAGGATCTAAAGCTTGCAGATGATCTTGGAGTTTCTAGTTTGAACCATACAAGAAGTAGAAAGGGTGAAGAAGCTGTATTGAAGAACATAGACAATGACAGCATTATGGTGGGTGCTGTTACCGCTGCCCTTGGAGCTTCAGCTTTTCTAGGACAACAGGTAATGGCAATTAATTGATTCTTGAGTATGATAATCTAATATTTCTCCCGACTAGTTAAGAATCTGGCTGTGTTAAAGGATGACGATCCATTCACGTATTCTTTCATGTGTGTGTAAATTAACTAATCATCATTCAGACCTACTGTGTGGACCCTCTGTTTTTTTTTATTTTATAATGTACTGTGTGGACCTAGTTGGAACTGTTTTTCAAGGTTTATAGACTGCCATTGCTTTGTGAATGTATTAAAGCTTCTCTTATATGTTGCTTAAGAGTTCATGACACTTATGATGGTCGGAAAAATTAGGCTAACAGACCCAGGGAAAAATTAAAACTATCATTGTCAACTTCTTATTTAAGTACCAACCAGCTCAAAGTCCTCTAGGGTTGAATGCACTTTTGTCCCATGAGGTGGCAAGATCATATCATGGATAACTGAAGTATCTTGTATGTGGATAGGATCTGCATCATCTAAGTATTAATAATGTGCTGTATGGATGTTTTCCTTACATATGATTCTGTGTGTGCGTTTGTGCAAAAGAGAGCAACCCATCACTTGCCACTTCTGTTTTCTTTCAAATTTCCGGACTGGCATGATGATGGTTTTTGAGACCACTTAATTCAAATTCCGCAGGATGACAATGAAATTGAGGAAACATCGGCCAAGTACTTGAAGGAGAGAGTAAGTCCCCAAATAGCATCAGAAAAGCTTGATGGTGAATTGTCTGAAAAGGATCAAAACAACATTGTTGCAAGCTTTGCTGAGAAAGCGATGTCAGTTGCTGGTCCAGTAGTTCCTACGAAGGAAGATGGTGGAGTGGATCAAGAAAGGTTATTAATAGTCTATATTTGTGCCTTTGTTCAGAATAGCTGATATGCGTTTTCTTATGATGTGTATGTGTTTCAACTCTCTACAGGTTGGTTGCTATGTTAGCTGATTTGGGTCAAAAGGGTGGCATTTTGAGTTTGGTTGGGAAGCTTGCTCTGCTGTGGGGTGGTCTACGTGGAGCTATGAGCCTGACTGAGAGGCTTATCTCTTTCTTGCACTTAGCTGACCGGCCCTTACACCAAAGGTAATTCATAGTGGTGAAACAGTGCTTGAGCGTCAGCAACTCTTGTGGTAATTACTGGAGGGCCCCCTGCGTGACCTTGCTTCTAAAGGTCATATGATGATTGGTGAATAGTTTGGTATTGTGGGAAATCCAATTTTTTACACAGGTGTTTATCGTCATTTGAGTGAGTCAAAATTGGGAAAATCTGCTAATAAGTTTAATATGCTCTTCCGCTAAGAAATGAAGTGAAAGTAGTCTTGCCTGCTTGATGCTTGTCTTGCCATATGACTTAGACAAACCCTGCATATTTCATGCCTTATTTGTTGGTGTTACTAGATAGGTTTTTGGCTGTAATATTGTTCTTGCTTCAAATGGAAAGTATGCTAATATTCTCCTACTTATGGAGAAGTGTCATATGACAAAGAGCTACTGAATATAGTGGCAGATGTGATGGCGAGTGAGGCTATCTATTATCCAGGATATATGCGACAAAATTACGGCCCGCACCATCAAGATGATTTTGTAGTATTTTCCATCTGAAGATGTGTGGCCAATGCTCTTCTTAGTTCTATGTACTTATATCATGTGTGTATAATTTATATGTTCCATCTTTTACCAGATAAATTGAGGACAAGTTTTTTAGGCGTCACTTGGTAAGCAATTGGTGTAAATATAAAATACACGAATTTCAAGAAATCATGTGCCAGTGGGATTGAAAGAGTTCATGTAACGCGAGCATGCAGTTTTTGATTTGCAAGGAGTTTGATCAATTTTTTAACCTTTGGGTTAACCTAAACATTGTTAGAATACATAACACCGTGTATTTTAACAGTATATTCGTATGTGTCAATTTCTGTCTCACACGTTTTTTATTTGCAGGATTCTGGGATTTGTGGGCATGGCTCTTGTTTTATGGTCGCCAGTTGTTATTCCATTGCTTCCAACACTGGTGCAAAGCTGGACATCTGGCACTCCATCCAGATTTGCGGAGCTTGTTTCAATTCTTGGCCTCTATGCTGCTATTTTGATGCTTGTTATCATTTGGGGCAGAAAGCTACGTGGGCATGAATTTCCACTGAAACAATATGGGCTGGATTTGACGACATTGTCCAAGGTAATCAAAATATTGTTTGTTAGAGAGCGTACGTGTTCTTAGAGAAGCTGTATGGCTTCATTATCTCTGCATGCTTTCTCTAGCTTTTGCAGCCTATCATGTGTTGTTTTGGAGTAGGTTATCTCATTTTGGATGGTAGAGGTGTTGGTTTATTTCAGAAGCCAGTAGAAGTCACTTTGTTATTTCGGTGACCAGCATCCATTTATTATTATAAGAAGTAATAAACCTGATATCTACGATGTGTAAATTTTGGGTCAATCAGGCTTCAATGTTGAAATTACACTTCTGATTGCGGATACTCAGATTTATGAACTTGGGTTCCTACCCTTGTTTTTATTATGTCTGCATTAAAAATTTAACTTAGCTTGTCATAAGATAGAGCAAGGTTGGTTTTTCAAGCTTTGTTTTGTTAAGTTGAAGAGTTCATTCTGATTTTAAGCCATTCTATTATGTGCCACTGGTTATATAATCGTTTTGTAAAGTTTCCATATTGTTCATGCTAAACAAAGTAAATGCACCAAATTTTAGCTCTGAATATCATAGCCCGTAGAGCATCTCTCTACATAATTGGATATTTTGCTACAAGTCTATAGATTTGCCTTAACACCAAACCTTTCGATTCCTTGACTTTTGCTCCTTATTTTTCATCTCTTATTCACTTGCATGACGAGTGGCAAAACTTCTTCATCTTCTGTGCCTATGAAATAGTCTCATCTTATGGCCATATCTTGCAGATCCAAAGCTTTTTCAAGGCCTTAGCTGGAGGGATGGCACTTGTTTTACTGATACAATCTGTAAATGTATATCTGGGCTGTGTGAGTTTTTCTTGGCCTGCAAGGCACCCGTCTTCTACGAATCTTGTCGTAGCATATCTGAAACTGTACGGCCAAATGGTTTTGTTTGCCCTACAAGGCATCCTATCAGCAGCTGGCGTTGTGCTCGTTGAAGAATTGTTTTTCAGATCGTGGCTGCCTGGAGAAATTGCTTTGGATCTTGGGTTTCATCAAGGAATTGTCATTTCGGGACTTTTATATGCTCTTTCCCAGAGGTATTGTTTGGTGTGCAACCCCAGCAAGCTCTCCAATTGCTCTCTTCTTGTCACTTATCGATTTGTCTTCTGCAGGCCTTCATTTTAGCAGTCCACTTATCCTTTTAGCAGAACCAATACGCTCGTTCATTTTCTGTCTCTCGAGTTTACGTATCTCATTAGAAATTTGGCCTCTTAATCCATTTCTCTCCACCAATTGGTTGCCAGGTCTCCATTGGCAGTGCCAGCACTGTGGCTTCTATCTATGGCCCTGTCAGGGTTACGACAAAGAAGCCAAGGCAGCCTTTCTGTGGTGATTGGGTTACGTGCTGGGATAATGGCTTCAAGCTATGTTCTTCAGAGAGGTGGATTCTTGACGTACAAGTACACGTTGCCTTTATGGGTAGCAGGGACTCATCCATTCCAACCTTTTAGCGGGGTGGTCGGTCTTGCAGTCTCTTTGTTAATGGCAGTGGTTCTATACCCAAGGCGACAACTGCATGAGGAATTAGAGGGGAACTCTTAGACGAAGAATCATGTTATGCTCATCAAGAATCCACAGGCCAGTGATAAGCGTGCAGCGAGAAGGCCAGCAAAAGCTCTGTTTGCAATCGCAGCTTGCATTGGATATCTCTTGCGCCGCCATTTTACGTATTCCACGGTGAAATCGAAACTGAGGGATTATTTACGTTTGCAGCAAAGAACATGAAGATGAGGACGGCTGCAAGTAAACGCTAAAGAGCTCATACTTAAGCAAGTCGGCCAATTTTGCGACGAAACAACTGTGTTTGTATATAACTTGTACAGATGTCTATAATGAATATGGTATGTATATACTTCACGTCCCTGATCCTACACCGATTGGGACGCGCAGAAGAAGAAGAATTGAGACGACGTTGTTGGCCATTAATGAAGACCATTATTAATAAATGGAGAACAGTCTGCAATGAACTTCGAGAAAGTGTCTCCTCAAGTTGTAGATACCAGGTAGAAATAACCTCTCTTGGAACTTGGAATATTGTCCTACCGCCAGTTTCACATAATACCAGCTGATCTTAAAGAGTACAATTTTAGCTATAATTAGTTGGTCATTCTTCCAGCATCCCTCCACAGAAAGCTGTGGGAAATGTCATGGACTAATTTTCTGTGCAGAGTTTCGCACTCAAATCTCGTTAAATCTCGTTAGAATGCTAGACCAGCCCTTGCTGTTCCGCCTCTCAGGCTTCCTCCGCGACTGAAAGGACCAGGGCTGAAATGTTCAGTCCAATTGGGTAAAGATCAAGTCTCTTTGTTACTTGTTTAAGTTGATCTCAGCCCTTAAAGTTGTGGGAAATCTTATCTCCAAAATTTCTAGACCTATTGGTAAAAAAATGTCTACGTGGTAAATTGTAAAAAAAATTTGGATATCAAAATGTAATTTTTAAAAATATAATTTGTTGATTGATTTGAACCGACACGGTCAGCCAAGTTTGGCCTACCCCGAGCAAATCAGACCGGATCAAAGAAGAAACATGGACAGGATGGATCAGTTTTATAAATTGATCCTACAAGAACTGGTCATACAAGGTTATAACCAGGTAAGAGACGTTTCTGACCCACTTTCTGCCCTCATAATCCATTTACTTCATTCTCTGTTCATTAAGGAGAGAAAATAGAGGTGGGAGAAAACTGGAAAAATTGGAGGGAGTTGAAACTTTTTCCTTTGTTCATAAATTTTACTACAATAACAATACATGAGTGATTATTTGGTGGGTGTAAAAAAGTGATTATTTGGTGGGAAAAGTTATAGCAATTGCCCAATATTTGGAATGAAAATCATTTGTCTCTTGTTGGATATCTTTTCTCCTTTAATACTATTTTTTTCTCATTATTTTATTATTCTAAAACTTTCACTTCCTCACAATTTTCCTCCAACCCCAATTTTCTCCTCCTCTCTCTTAAACAGAGCGCAAAGGTTTCAGTTCATGACACCATTCAATAATACATGAGATTTACACCGAGTGTTCTTTTCTGTGGGTTCTTATTTTGTACAGACTACAGAGCGATCCCCCCTGAGTTTCGGATACCATTGGTACAAACGACCAAGTTCTTAGAACTTAAATATCTACAACATAGCCACAATACTTGAAAAGCTAACTAGCAGGTCGGCCTCTTGGCTCATCAAGTAACCATCAACCACCTTCTCGCCGGTTTCTCGCGCACAGACTTATGCAATAATCGGATATGAAGCGCAAGTGGCAACACCTGCAGTCAAGAAGACAATGCCAAACCCAAAATGAGTCCATTGGAAGAAGCACCGCATTGAATGGAATAACAGTGCAGTCGTCGTAGTAGGTACAGTAGAGAAGTTAACTTACCACACATGTTCTTCCCCATTTCCATCTTGAAGTAACCACTCTCCCCCCAATCTCCGCCCTAGGAGTTCTTGATGAGCCAGTATGGTACGCCGTCTTCAACTCCATACCCCACGGCCAGAACCGCATGGTTCACATCCTGAATGTTAGAGTGTGATATATGATCCAGCATAAACTTCTCCCAATAACTCGAGTTATTGGGAACAACTGGTTTATGACATGGTATCAGAGTTAGCTTGGCCAAGTGGTTGTGTGTTTGAATCTCCACGACCCCCAATATTAACAGTTGATTAAAAAGCACAATGTATGGTGGCCTGTGCAAACTTAAGCCCATGGATTGGCTTTTGTTTGAGGCGGCGTGTTAGAGTGTGGTATATGATCCAGTATAACCTTCTCCCAACAACTCGAGTTATTGGGAGCAACTGGCTTATGTAACACCACTCAAGAGATGATGATGTTGGGATAAACCATGCTGAATATCATATCAACCAGCTAAGCGAAATAAGTGTTAGAAATTGTGATGTGGAAGTCAGCCAAACCTGAAAGTCCAGCAAGATCCACAGCCACCTTGATTCTTAACCGGGCTAAACTATTCCATCCTCCCTCCAGTCTTTCTGCAGCGTAATATTAGTTCAAGATATTATAATGAGACATCATTTACTCCCACTACTCTAGCCACTCTCAGAGTGGAATCCAAAGCGCAAACCACGAATGAAGAGCTTAGGAGTTATACCTTCTCCGGAAGGACAGCATCAGTGATCACGAAATTACCCCTCCTGGTGGCAGAACAGTTTTGAGCAGCTCCAAGTCTCTGCATTTGGAACTCTTGACATGTCCAATCAGCATAATCTGCGTGTACAATATGACCCAGATTGCAAAATGTTGATTCAACTTAAGCGACAGCTAGTTCCTTAATCCTTACCCAACAACCAAAGGTCTACTCACAATCACAAACAAAGAATTTAATTAATATAGTCACTGACTTTGGATAGAGAATAAAAGCAAAAGGGTTGTTTTCTTTCTACCTATTAAACAAGAAAGAAAGGAACAACTATATGGTTTACGTTATTTTAGCAAATAACAACCCCAAGGTACATAAAAGAAAGATTTTAAGTAACGAAGAAAGTATTTCATACGTTTCAGACGTCCTCTGCCTAGTGGTGATCATATTTTTTGCTATAGCAATCGTTATTTTTATTTTTTATGGCCACTTGATTGATTATATGAAGAACCACTTCATCCCAATAACTTGAGTTGTTGGGAGAGTTTCAATCGTGGATCATATATCATTCACTAACACCTCCCTCAAACGAAAGCCAGTCACCTCATAAGGGCTTTCGTTTGCACATGTCTGAATACACGATACCATGTGCTTCACAAATGGGGTCACCGGGATTCGAACACAAGACATTTGGGTCACATAAGGCTCTGATACAATGTCAGAAACCAGTTGGTCCCAATAACTCGAGTTGTTGGAAGAAGGTTATGCTGAATATTATACATGCCTATGTATGGTACTTAACCACTTCCTTACACGCCCCCTCAAACGAAAGCCGACTCATGGGCTTGAAGTTTGCACAGGCCCGCCATACCATGTGCTTGAAAGACAACGGTTAATAATGGGGGTCGCGGGGACTAGAACACGTGACCTCAAGGACAAACCAGCTATAATACCATGTCAAGAACCACTCGATCCCAATAACTCGAGTTGTTGGGAGAGGTTCAATCGTGGATATATACCATTCACTAACATATTAGTTTTGTTTTGTTTTGATATGTTTTTGTGGCAATAAGAGGGTCTAAGATAGAGTCAGTAACCAATGGTTACTGAAGTAAATCATCGCACCTACGGTCCAACCAATTAACCAATTGGGCGAGAATCAATACATTCCTTTTCGGGAGCGATTCATCCTTCCCGAACGCAGCATACAACTCTCCGTTGTACTGCGCTCTCCAAGTGTGCGTGTTCCCCCCTTCTTCCTTCTTTTTATTTTTAGTCATTATTCATTGAATAAGTGATGATACAATGAAACCTCTTTGCTGAAAGTGAAAGTGAAAACATGAGAAAGACTAGAGATCCAGCTGGAGGATGCCCACTTTGAGAATCAATATTAGAGTCAGCCGGTGGAAGTCAAAATCGGATTTTAAATGATATAGATAAAAACATCTATAGTTTGAGTTATGGTGACAGTTTTCACTACAAATCGAACTATAAATGTAACTTTCACTATAATTGTCACTATCAGTTAAAATATAGCTATCAATGCAGATTTGCGGTTATAGTCGACGTTGATTCATTATTTTTAACGTCTCTAATTCAAAACCGAACACGAAACTTTGGTTTCATTCGGCTCCTTTATGGGATATGGATGTTGTTCTTGCTCTGGAAGACACTTCCGGCCATAGAAGGAAGGGCCATGGAACTAAACCAAGACCGTAGATCTAGGGGCGGAATCATCATATGGTTGGCCTGCACGCGGAGTGAGGAGGGGCATTTTTGTCCAATTTTTAAAATTTAATTCTTTTTCCTTTTTTATTTTTTCCAGCATTTATATGTTGTCTTTTTAATGGAGGAAAGAGAAAAACAAACTCTCTCTTCCTTTCTCTTTTCCAAACTCCTTTTTCCAGATCTAAATCTTCTTTCTTCTCTAGTTCTTCATTTTTTTCTCTCCAACAATCGACGAAGAAAAATTGCAGCCTCCCAACTCAAATCCGGTGACGCTCCAAATCCTTCTTCTCTCAAGCTCCTCCTTCATTCTGTTTTTTCTTTTCTCGACCTCAAAATAGATGACGCTCCATATTGTCAAAGAGGGGACAGATCTAGGTGAGTCGAGTTTGCATATTTTGTGTTTTAGTATTTGTTTGTGAATTTCAATTCCGATCTTCCTCCTCTTTTTTCTTTCTTTTTGCATTTGGTGTTCTTGATTGCGGAAGAGTAAATGAGAGGAGACAGAAGACGAGTTTTTTCTCTCTTCCTCCTTCTGTTTTCCCCTTCTTTGAGAATATATATTGATATTACCACACTATACCATGTGATAATGTGTGCTAACTAAATGTATTTTTATAGTCACGAGTTTTATTATGGTGGTAGTGGGTGGTGATCGACACCAGTTCCGAGAAAGAAGAGTTAGAAGACAATGAAGGGAGAGAAGAAGGTCGTAATTGTATATATATATATATACAATTAATCGGAGTTTGTATGCCCGGGCGTACGCTAACCTAGCGTATGCCCCATTGAGTTTTGCTATATAGATCATGAATTAATCGGAGTTTGGGGCATGATACTATACCCTAACCAATGAAAATTTCGACGAATCAGAATCGTTGATTTTTATTTTTAAGATTAAACGAATCTCATGATTTGGGTTAGTGAATTGGGGACTGGGATTCACCCATCACGGGTTAGGGTATAGTATCATGTCCCAAACTCCGATTAATTCTTTGTCTAAATAGCAAAACTCAATGGGGCGTACGGTAGGTTAGTGTACGCCCGGACGTACGCTAGCCTTTGCCATATATGTATATATGTATATATATATGTATATATATACAGAGAGAGAGATTACCACACTATACCATATGGTAATGTGTTGTAACGAAATGTATTTTTATGAATATCATGTTTTTACTATGGTCGTAGAGGGTTGTAATTTTAGATTTGTATGGTTTTGCCTTCTCATACCATGTGGTATTATATGGTAATTATAATAAATTTGTGGTCCTTCGATTTACCATGTTCTACTATGGTGGTATTGTATGCTAGTTAGATTTATAATTTTCTGTAGCGTGGTTTACCAAGTTATACCATGTGGTGGTAGTTTGATTTGTAATTTTATTTTAGCATGTTATACCATATGGTATGATATGATATGGTAATTAGATTTGTAAATTTTGGTAGCATGTTTTACCACGTTATACCATGTGGTATTGTATGGTAGTTAGATTTATAATTTTCTTCAACATATTTTACCATGTTTTACCACCTTTTACCCTATGGTATTGTGTGGTAGTTAGATTTGTAATTTTCTTCAATATATTTTACCATGTTTTACCACGTTTTACCATGTGGTATTGTATGGTAGTTAGATTTTTAATTTTCTTCAATATATTTATACTTGTAATTAGTATCTTTAGTACTGAATTATTTAACGAAAAAATCATCATTCAATTTGAGTTGGAATTAGAACAGAGATAGCTAGGATGATTACATTCATTTTTGTTGTAGATGGGAGAGAGAAGAAATAATGTATTTTTTCTTTTAATAATAAAATAAAACAAAGAGTGAGAAAGAGGGGAATCAATGTAGGGTGGGGGAGTGGGAATACGCGTCTGGTCAAAAAGTCAGCGTCAGAGTGTCAGCGTCAGCATTAAATAGGGGGTGCAATTTACCTTAGTGCCCCTCCGTGTTTAATTTAAATAAAAAAAGGCTGACACGTGGTGACAGATAATTGGATTACTGACAGTTACTGATAGAAAGGATACTGACATGATCTGGTCCACAATAAGAGTACCGGACAATACAATATAAATTGACTCTTTCAGTGAAATTTTTTTAAGTAACTTCTTTATTGTAATCAAAAACTATGTTTTGGGATTGTGATTATACCTCTATTGTCACAATAGTACTGTAACCACAACAATAACAAAATTATACTAAACTTAAACGAGGCATTAGAGATGATTAAGAGGGTTGGAGGAGTTTGTCTATATATGTTGTGGGGCCTAAAAGTTGCAAACTAGATTGGAATGAATTTTAGGCTGATTTGACTTGTTTTATGACGACAATCAAATAAATTGTTGACACCTATTTTAGAATCGAGACATTGTCTAATTTTTTCAAGTACAAGAAAATTGAAATGATCTCAATATTTTTTATTTTAAAGGGAATAATTTCTTTGTAGCATATTTTGAAATAAATTTATCTATTAACTCTTCAATTATCATATTTTCCAGAAAATCATTTATACTTGTCACCATATAGCTAATCCATC